TCAAATAGCTTGGAAAAAAACTAAAAGTATCAAATTTGACCTTTAATGAGTCTCGGGTTGTAAATTCTCCCAGCGTCATCTTCAACTATTCTTCATTTCTTACGCACCCATAAATGTACCACGGCGAAACATGAACTTAAATTGAGGAACTTCCATGAACCCATCCCTCGTGAGTTTGAAGCTGGTAACCGATATTAATTCCCGTGATAACTTGAAAACTCTTGAATTCTTTTTCTGAGTTTCGCAAGGACGAAACCTTTAAATCCCATAAACTTGATCACCTTGGTCGTTGGTACAATATTTGCACTTGAACATGGAAAGCCCTTTCCATCTTAACGAGCCTAGTTTGAAACCAATCTGAACCCCATTTGTTGAATCATGTCTTGAAGTGTTAAATAAAGGAGGTGAATGTTATCTCCACCTGAAGTCACTGCATCTGCACAAATTGGTTGGCCGCAATATACATGCACACAAAAGTATAAAGGTAAAATACAAAAGCGAGGAGGTGAAATCTTAAGGTCAAAAATTAGGGTGTGACAATCACGAGATTCAAATTCTTGCTTATTTTTAAATTGGTTGCCAACATCTACCGCCTTCATAACAACACCTTGGACATTCAAAGAAACAACTTGTTTTGAAAAAACATCGGGGTGCATCATATTTAATGAAAACAATTAAAATTATAATAGTACAAAAGCGCTATTGGTGAAGACAGACTTGGAATATGAACATGGACAACTTCCGGAAATGCATCTCTGAAAAAGTTCATACACGTTCAGGAGATATATTTTTAGACAAAACACTACTTTTTCAAGAAAAAAAAATGATTAATGTGAGCAATTCAGAGAGAAATGACGGATCGTTACCTGAAATTCTATCTTCTTATACTCTCTGTGATGTGATGAACCAAAAGAATGAAGATTTGGAGTAAAAAAATAGATTGAGAATGGAGGAGGGTGTTTTGGTGAAGGGTTTGATTGAAAACCAACTATGACAAAAAAAGATTGTATGATCATACAACTGATTCTTTTATCAGATATTTCTGGAGATGCATCTCCGAAAATATCTAACATGCAAAGGTAATAGAAAATTTCAAAATACCGTCCATAATTTCGGAGATGTAACTCCGGAAATTTTACTGAACTGGAAATTAATTAAGGTATTTCTTAAAATGTTTCGGAGATGCAATCCCCGAAATAAAAAAATCTCTAACTTATAAGACGTCTTTCAACATACTCTTACTTAAATATGTAAAAGATGCGTTCGAAAATACAATTTTAAAAATAAAAGACTTTTATAAAAACTCACGTGATACAGTAGAAACATCTGAAATACGTTAAAAATTTCTCTGATTATAATGAAGTGTTTTTCTCCTGAAACTAGTTGGGAAAATAACAGGTAGCAGGAAATTAGTTGTGGAAAGAACAGGTAACGTGAATTTGTCTCTATCACCAAGTCTACTTTTTACAAAGAGTGAATGAAGAACCACTCAAGTGGCTAGTGAGATGAGTTAAATATTAACAAAGCCTCATTCCATTGGGAATCAGATGCTTAGAACAACAACAACAAAGTAAATAGTTCAACTAATGAACTTAATTTATGATAAATTATATAAGCAACAAACGATCTAACATTACTAGTACATAGAAATAAAATAGAGTGCATTGATAAGATAAAATGACAGGCCAAATTTTACCTAAAATTGCGACGTTAATATAAAGCATGATCATTTAGAAATATTTACAACCAGAAACGAAGACATGTTCAATCTCTCCCACCCTCTCCTTGTCTTCCTTCTTTTCACAACCTCAACAAACCCAGAAAAAATTACAAACACATACACACAACAATAGCTTCACTGCTGGGACCAACATCCGCTTTTTTTGTTCCACCCAAAAATAGGGTGGTGTTGGATGAAAGAATTACAATGTAGAGAAGGTTAAAATTAAAATAATAGACTTCTTTATCATGTTTTCTTTTTTCCAAATGTAAACTTTGGTATTTTTCTAAAGAAAGTCGTCATCTATAGTCATTGTTTTTCGTTGTTTAATTGTAATGACCCGTCCTTCATCAATTTCAGGCTCAGACTGTTGAACCTCTCTCGCGAATACTGCCTTGATGCCTTTCTCCAATCTGTCCCGGCCTTCATCATGTTCGCGAATTCTTCGTAACTTATCTTTCCGTCCTGCAATTCAAATGGAAGATACGATCAAAATATGGTCCCAAAAATGGTATCCTCCAATAGACAAAAGACAAAACAGGAAACTGAAGAAACTTAGGAATGCAGGAAAATTGTATAATATGTATCCACTTGTTGAATAAAACAAGAAACTATCTTACAAGCATAACCACAAAATAGAAGATGGAAAATGGAAAATGATTTAGAAAGTGAAAATAAGCTCAACTAACCTTATCCGTGTCCACATCATGCATAATTGCACTAATGACCTCTTCACTGTTTGTTTCTTCAATTTCATCGGATAATGCATTGCGAAGCTCCTCAATCTCAATATACCCAGTTTGGTTCTGATCAAAGAATTCAAAGGCTTTGTGAAGATGTTCATCATTTCCCATCTTTCTCAAATGAACTGAAATCGCAACATACTCCCCATAATCTAGGTACCCGTCCCTGTCTACATCACCCTGTAAAAGCAAAAGCTCTCGAACATTAGAAGATGAAGAGACAACCAAAGGTCGTGTGTGTTAAAGCAATAATAATAATTTAACAGAAAACATATTATAGGCAAATGTGGAAAGTACAATCTAGACAAAGGATGAAAATAAAACTCACAGCTTCCATAAGAATTTGGACGTCAGCATCTGGAATTTGATGGCCTAGTTTATGCAAACCTATCCGTAGTTCATCAATGTTGATTTTGCCTGTGTTGCTTGTATCCATAAGCTTGAATCCCTCTTTTAGTCCCGCTGCTTCTTCTACCGACAAATGCTCGGCAATAACCTGTTCACACAAGAAAAATTAGTTGTAGAGAGAACATGGACAACTCGTGAAAATGGGAAAAAGGATTAATATTTCAGGGATGATTCCCCGAGAAACACTCAAACATTGTTAAGAAAATTACCCTCAAAGCTCTTTTCTTGAGCTTGTTCATTACGGAAAACTGCTTTAGTCTTGCTCTAACTGTTTCTCCTAACGAAACGTTGGGTGCTTTCTTTGCATTTATTAACCACGGATGGTCTGCATTTAGCGAACAAAAAATGTTACAATCTATTAAAATTTCTGTATGGAAAAATTTAAAGAGAAAAATAATGTCAATTTTCTGTGCAGAATATGAACTGCGTGTTACATACCTAACACTTCTTGTGCTGTAAGTCGCCGTTTTGGATCAGGATTTAGCATCTTCTTTACAAGATCTTTCGCATTATCAGAAACTTTAGGCCATGGGTCCCTTTTGAAATCAACAACAGATCGTATAATTGCTTGTGCAACTCCTTGCTCAGTTTCTTCATTTCACAAAAGAGGAAGAGAGACAAAGTTTAGTAAATCAGATTAATCAAACAGAAAAAAGAAAAACAACAAATAATAATGAAATTGGAATAACTCTGAAGTGAAATGGGAAAATCCTCTCTTTTAACATCATTCACCGAATCACAAGAAGAAACTAACCTGCCCAAAATGGAGGCACACCACAAAGTAAGATGTATAGAATAACTCCAGCACTCCAAATATCTACTTCTGGGCCATAATTTCTCTTCAATACCTCCGGAGCCATGTAATATGGACTTCCAACTATCTCATTAAATCTTTCACCTGCATAAAATGGAAAACTTTAAGCCAATTGCAAACCCATGACACCAACCAAGCAACATTGCAGACTTAATCACCAACCAGAATCCTTACCTGGTTTAAAAAACACCGACAAACCAAAATCTATAGCTTTCAAAGCTGCGGTTTCCTTCTTATTCGCAAACAAAAAATTCTCCGGCTTGAGATCTCTATGCATCACACCATGTTTATGGCACATCTGAAACAAACAACAAATTAAATAATTATAATCGTATTCTCATGATGGAACAAACCCAACTCACAAAAACATCAATGCAAATGAAAAGCGTGGAATTTAAGCACAGACCACCAGAAACACAACACCGACACTTCGACACTGAAAAAATGAATAAATCAAACATAATCACAAGTGTAAGCATCCTGACACACCTTTTTTCATAGCATAAGAAACTGAAAACCAAATTACACACAGCCATATCCTAATTTAACAAACCACAAGATGCATTTAATGTTCACCTAATAACATAATTATATTCCAAATTCCAAATACATAAAACAATAACTTCCCAAAAAAAGCTCTTCACTACAACATAACAAAGTAAACTCCATTAATTAAATTAACTCAATTTCTATAAAAAAAATCCTACCTAGCACAAAAAAATTTCAATTCAACTTCACTGAAAGATCAAAATCAGTTAACCAAATTCATTAAAAAACTTAAACTTCAACTGAGATATTAAGTCAAAAACAGAAATTTAACTAAAAATATCACCTAAAGTCCTAATCAAAAACTACATACAAAATTAAAATAAATAAATAAAATCAGATCGAATCATTCAAAAATAGAAATAAGAACCTGAACAACTTCAACGATAGTTTTGGTAACAGCCGCGGCGGCGCGTTCAGTATAATGACCCCTGGCAACAATCCGATCAAAAAGCTCTCCACCTTCACAAAGCTCCATAACAAGATGCACAGCATTATCATCTTCATAAGTATCTTTCAACGTAACAATATTATTATGCGGCGGCATATGCTTCATGATTTCAACTTCTCTCCTAACATCTTCAATATCAATAGCAGTTCTAAGCTTCTTCTTCGAAATCGACTTGCACGCTAGCTCCTCTCTGGTTTCCTTGTCTGTACAAAGATAAGTTACGCCAAATTCACCTCGACCGAGTTCACGACCAAGCTCGTAACGTGTCTCGATTTCGCGGCCGGTTGGATCCTTCAAAACGGTGAGTTTTGAGCTTGAGGTTTTGTTGCTGTTGAAACCGTAATCGATGGCGAAGGGATTTTCCTTTTTAGGCTTTTTGGTTTTTTTGTTGGTTGTGTCTTCGCCTTTTACAGCAGGGGTAGCACAGCAATTTCCCATGGTTTTCGGAGGTTTATCCTAAAAATAAATGTAAGATCTGGGTTTGAAAATTGAAATTTGAATTGGATCTGATCTAAGATGAGAATGGAAAGGGTAAAACGGGAAAAGAAAAATTAAAAGTTAGGTTTTTTCTTCTTTGGAGAATTAGAATTAGAATTAGGATACAATCGAAAGTGATTTTAAAGTTGAGGTTTAGGAAATTAGGGCGTGTTTGGGAAGGTGAATGAAAAAGAGAAAAACGGGTTTCATTGTAGCTGGTGAGAGGGTCAAAACTTAACTTGTTTCGCAGAGACTTCGTCTATCGTCGTCTCTCTTTCTCTTTCTCTCTCTAACCCTTTCTTTCTTCTTTTTCTATCTCTCTCCTTATTCTATGACTTTCTTTTCTTAGATATGTTATCATGATTTTAATTTTCTTTCTTCGGAGTTTTTTTTTCTGCTAGAAGAAAAGCCAACTCAATATTGCTGTTTGTTTGTTTCTTCAAAAACACATTATGGCTGTTTCTTTAGCGTTTTTTGTTTCTTATTTTGAGAAATTAAAAATTCAATTTTTTATTTTTTATTATTTTGAAGTCATCTTCAAAAAAAAATAAAGATGATTTGAATAGTGACTTTCATTTATCTGATAACCTGAATAACGAATAAATATAATTAATTGTACTGTCTGCACGATCATTTTCCAAGAGTTATTGAATTTATTATTTATTAAATTAATTATTAATAATAACAGTAAAAATATAATTAAAATCTCCTTTTTTAGTGAATGAATCACATGAGTTTTTTTGGAATGTCATTTTTTTTCATTAGGGTAGTTTCGGTATTTCCCTTTATATGAATGCAGGTCAACAATGTAGCCAATGGAATCATTGGTATCAGCACCTAAAAGTTGAATTTTATTTCTTTTTTATTAATATTTTTAGTATACATAAATATAATTAATGCTAAGATGTTTGGTGGGGTTTCAAATCATCTACAAATGTAAGGTGTAATAATAGAAAAAAGAAAAACTGAAACCATTTTAAATATAATGTTGAAATATACTATTTCTTTCTTGTTTCTTAAGCTAAACACTAATGTGTGGTAAGAACATTTATTTATTAAGATGTAAAAGTAAAAGGTGCTTGTTTATTTATTTTTCTTTAAGTACATATATTTTATTAGTAATAAAGTAATATTGTCTTTAATAATTATTAAATTTTAATCAAACAAAAATTTTAAAAGCATACATTTTTTAAAACAATAGAAACATGAGATTTTGTTTAGGAGTTTTGAGGAAAGAAGAATTGAGAGATTTGGAAAAATAGTTTTTAAAAAAATATTGAAAAATTTTTTATTCTTTTTTTAAAAAAATGATTTTGCATAAATGATAAGTCATTAACATATTTTTTAGTTTTCAGAATGTTATAATATCGTAGGTTTTATTTAAACATATTGTTTAAGTTTTTCAAAACTCTTAATTTTTTTAATTATTCAAATTAAAATATTTTAGTTTTTTAAATAAAAGGAAATCCCCCAAAACGTTCTCCATCTAAATCCATCTATTTTTTCAAACAATTCTTCTTCTTTTTTTCAAAGTCTCCTTTCCTTCCTCTCAAACAAAGCTTAAAAGAAAAGGGGGACACAATAGAGAATGAGGGAGTCAAACTAAAATCCTTTTAAATGAGTTGATTTTAAGATTAGGCTAGCTTGTTACACAATATATCCATATTAATGTTATTATGAAGATGATTAACTCAAGTATACCTCTTAAATGAAAAGGAAAATCTTGAAAGTTTATCAGCAGAAATGTTCTCTTCTCTATAAATGAGATTTATATGAGATACCATGAAGTACATTGAGAGTAATATTTACAAGTTAACCACTTAATTTTGATACGCCAATGGACGAGTGGGTAGTTAGAAAAAACATTAACTGTCATCATTAAATTAGTTTTTAGACAAAGTTTCTTCCAACTAAAATTAACATTACATCAATTAATTTAGAAAAAGACATTTCTTGATCGAATAAGAAGAGAAACTACTCACGTATATTCGTAAATCAATTCTAAATATACCACCATAAGTACATGAAGGTCAAACCTTTATTGATATATCATCAATGTTGCATTTGATCCAACTAAAAGTAGAAAGTTTTCATAGAACTTCAATAGTTGATTTCTACTTTGGTGAATAGATTTTAATGTTAAATTGCTTAAGGATGTTGAAATCTAATACGGGGGAGTTTGAAAATTTAGAGACATTATTACCAAAAAAAAAAAGAACACTTGAAGAAATAAAGGTGATACAAGTTTTCAAATGAGTACTCTTATTTTCAAGTATGTGATTGCTTTTGGCCATCCAATTGCTTTGGTAGAGTTAATCACACTTTAGAAGACTAGTATTTAACTTTGATGGGGAAATCCTTATCAATATCTTTCTATTAATCATTAATATATTTGTTGGAGAAAGGAATGGCAAGTGTGTTAGAAAACCAATTTCATATGCAATAAGAAGTCTAACATTTAACTTTGGTTCTTTTTGATATAAAAACCACATTAGAGGAAAATTAAGGCCTCTAACTCAAAGATTTTCATAAGAGGTTTTTTTTTTTTGGAATAATCCTCCAAACCAACATGGATTTAGAATTAGAAGTAGTAATATTAGGTTTTCAAGAAAACTTACTCCATAAGAAAACAAAATAAGGTTTCGTAATGAAGTCATAAGCATGTTTTAGAATGAGAATACTAGAATCTATACTCTGTCATGCCCTCTTATCATTTATATCTTTCAAATGAATGAGATAAATTGATATGGTATTTAGCAAATCGAAAAACGCCAACATAAGATTTTGAGGTAAAGTCCAACACTTATTAATTAGGAATTCAATGATTGGTGAGGTTAAAGAGGCATGGTAGATAATTAAAATATTATATATTTAAACTAAAGGAGTATCCCCAATTATTTAACTAGAATTTGATATATCTTCCATTGTCAAGAATCTAAGTAGAGTGCTCGTGGGTGGTTCTATAATGATTCATTAAGCCACCTCACATGGATGAGTATATATGATTGTTATTAGTCTTTACATTTCTTAAAACCCTCAATTTTAGAAGCATAGTCCAAATTTCATTCTCACAAAGTATGTCCCAACATAATTTATATTTTAAAGCTTCTTTTAAAGTGACCAAAGATCTTAGGCCAAGACCTCGTTCATTAGTGGATCTGCAACATTTCTGCCCAGCTACAATAACCATTTTTCCTTTTTCAATATCAACATTTCTTATGAAGTTTCTAATACAAGATTCAATGTTCTTTATAAGAGCCATTAACTAGTTATAAACTTGAATGCAATAAATTAATGTGCTTTGAACCATAGACTTTACCAATTGAAGTGTGACAGTCATGGTGTGTAACGCCCTACTAAATTCCGCGAAATAAGTATAAATAATCAGAGTAATTATCATCCATCTCAAAAAAAGGGTGTCACGTATATTTTCAAAACATCACACAAACTTCTGTCATACTCAATAACACTTAAAATAAATTCATACTTTATATACACTTTCACATTAGCATGTAGCAGCGAATTTACTTCAATCATAATAGATATAATGAAAGTCTCATACTCATCATATTTATAATCAATACTTAGGCATAAAGCCAATACTCCACATAATTCAAATAAACAAAACAACATAAAGTAGAGTACATAATGTATCTCTCAAATATAAGTTGAAACGATCCCAGTGTTACATGATCAGAGCACGACCCGACCCAACATAAATAAAGAAACTAAAACAAGTTACTCCAACGGCTGCCTCGCACTAGAAGCAACTCTACTACTCGGTACTTGAGCGATGTCGTACAAAACATCATTCCAATAGAAGGGTGAGAATTCGCGTAATTATTGAAATTATAAGATAATATATAATTTAAGGCATACAAGCATAATCACAATTGTTATCACACTTCAAAAGTTTGATCAACAAAGTATTACTCAAGTAACCACATCATTCACAAGAATATACACACAATCCATAATTTCATCAATTCAACAATTCACATAAATATACATAATCTCATATTGCAGCCAAAGACACCATGTGACTCGATGCAAACCTCAAATGCAACTCATGTATGTGGTACCAATCACTTGTTATTATTTTTCGGATTTTACATTTAAAACTGGTCCATTCTCTAGACCAATAACACACAAAAACCCGTTCTCTAAGCTTTCAAACCCCGCTCTAGGTTTTGTACAAGTCACTAACTCCCACGAAACTAACAAATATTGCCTCTTGACACAAATGATGCGTGTACAAATTCAACAATCATATGCAATTAAGACCATCCCTCAATCTTAACATCCATGCATATCTGTAGTAATTCATCATAATTTAATTACCATACAATTACACATACTTGCACATATTTATGAAACACATAATTCACTTTCAAATGATATACAACACATTTTACAATACAATCACGACTATATTATCATTACAAAAAGAAATAACTATCATCAATTTCATGTTTATACACACCAAAATATACTTATACAAGAAAACACACAAGTATTCGATAAATTATCCATAATAATTTCACAACCGGCAACAAACAGTACAACAATTCATCAATAGAACATATACACAATCGGCTTTCCAAAAATATTATATATAAAGGAAACTAATTATATTATCTATACTCTGTTATAGCCATGTTCATTAGCTTTCTGACGATTCGAACAGTGCCTCAAACGGACTTACAGATCAAAAGTTACGTCCATTCTGCCATCACTCGCTACAGGTTCGCTACTGCTCGCGTCGCGACATTCGCTATGCGAAATACAACTCGCATCACGAATCATTACAGAATGTAAACCATGGACTTTCGCTACCAGTTCGCTATGCAAACTCTCCTTGACAGCAATCTAGAAAAGTGCGATTTTTGCAGTTTGGAGGCCTTCCGGAACTCTGAATTCGATTTTGTAAAACGTTCCAGTTTCAAAATTCAAAATACTAT